AGCTAGTCGTACCAAGCTTTTTACCAACGACGAGAGGCGTGGCAAGGACCGGCTTCCACACTTCCTTACCCGTCGTCTATACCGTGGAGTTGTAATTCCGGCACGTTGCAGGAGCCGGTGATCCGAGGAGCAGTTTGGAGTTCTTTCCGTTCGGGCCCAAACGTCTTGCAGTACTGTTGATGATATAAATCCTGCATTACCTTAAGGACCCTAAGCTATGGGAATTATGGTATATTCCTTATTTTGGGTAATGCAGGATTTATATCATCAACCGTATGTCCGGAGTTTTGGCAGCAGAAAGTGTGTGCAGAATGCACTGCGGATCCGAGGCTATCACTTAGGCACCCTTGCCTTCGGCCTGGATCACAGCGCTTGCATGTAGGCAGTTTGGGGCCCCATGTGCGACGGCTTAGGAGCCTTTATCCTGGCCTTGGTTCAGTTCATCAGGCCTTCCGTCCGCTCATAGCCAAACGCCTCTCCTACAGTGGCCCTTCTTGCAGGTATCTCTGCAAGTACTTCGAGAAGCAGGTGCGCGGGGCGCAGGGAAACAGTCGGGTCGGGCGTTTTTGATCTTCTCACACACAGACTGATGCCCTTGTTCTCGAGAGGCGGCGGCTCAAAAGAATCGAGTCATGGCCCATGCCTCAGGGAATGCCATGTCGGCTTGCTTTACATCTCAATCTCGCGGCTATACGCTGTGGAACCGAATACCCAGCATTGCTGAGATGCACCACTGAACCCAAACCCTGGATGCCAGTGCAGTCAGACCGCTGCTCTTAAATCCTCCTAGACCCTCAGTCTTCAAGCTGAAAAAAGTGCGGAGCTTGAAGCCATCGTGCCTCTGCAGGTGATCGTCCTTAAAGTTCTTGGATGCATTATTTGGTGCGTTGAGATGCTCTCCGGCACTGGCCCCGCAAGGGTCCTATAAGGGTACTGTATGGGCTAGTATAGGGATTGCAACAAGGGTTGCGACAAGGGTAGTATATGGTTGAGAAAGCTAACTACAAGGGAATGTTAGGGTTGCAAGAAGGGTTGCAAAAGGGGTTCCTTGTTTGTGGCTTCTTGTCCTCCTAGTCATACTCGTTTGCACTCATTCGAGGAAGTGCATCAAGTTCCTCAACAAGAACGCGTACATCCAGGCACGCTTGCACGCGCAGTTAGGAGTTTGTGGTCGTTCCACAAGCACGCCGAAGCGGTGCTGAGGCAGATGAGCAGCGACAGAAGGGCATCCAATCTAAGTAAATTTCCACTCAAGAATATATATATATATATAAAACTTAGGAAACTACAAGGTGTTCTTTTCTGTTGCAAGCTGTTCATGCTGAAGTGTACGTGGGGTTTGCATTGTGGTCAGGGTGCACATGTTCATGTTAATAGGTTCGCACATGAGGATGCTTGAAGCCTTTGCCTCTGATTTCAAAGTTCGACTGAGCAGACTCCAGACTGTACAATATAAGGGCCTCAATAATTACCTATACTATTTTGGGGGGTTCCTTACTATAGTTATAGTATAATATACCCCAAAACCCTATTCTAATTAGTAAGGCCCCTACATTAAGTTGGCTCAGATCACCGTCGTGCAGGTCGCCCTGATGGGCACCAACTTCTGTACGTCCGCCAAGACACTTGATGAGCAGAGTCAGTGCATCTGACCCTAAACCCTAAAACCCTAAAACCCTAAAACCCTAAACCCTAAAACCCTAAACCCTAAACCCCTAAACCCTAAACCCCTAAACCCTAAACCCTGAAGGCAGCAGCAGGCGCCAGAAGAAGCCTTGCGGACTTGCATGTCTCTGCAGCCAAGGAATGCTTTCCAACTGATCATTCGCAACATGTTCCGCTTCGGCGTCGTCGTGTCTCGGCGATGTAAAGTTTAAAGCACGGCTGTCTGTACATGGCCTCACTGGCCTCAGAAATTGGTATCCTGTGTCAGATTTTGCCAAGTCGCCCTTAGCTCTAAACCCCAAACCCAATCTCGCAACCCTAAACCCCGAACGCTTTTCCCTAAGCAAAGAAGTTGAGCAAAATGCCAGGCCATTCTTGGCACGGTGATCCACTATATCGGCTGGACAGTCATCTTCGTGGGGACCACCGTTATCGGCTACTTTATTTTCGATGCCGCGGGTTGCCAAATGGAGCTCAACGTTTTTCTGTTTTTTTGCTGTTTGCGGTGCTTTGCATGTGTTTTGATTTGGCGCGCACAGTTTGGAGCTCGATGAAATGTGCGAACCACCTAGTTGGAACAAGCAAACTATAGCAGGACCAGATCGACGGGGGCAGGGGATAGAAGGGGAAGGGAGCATGAACGACAAGGGCCCTAAACCCCTATATTGCAGATCTGCGAAGACGGTGTTGTGCTGGGGGATTCGCAGATGGGAGTACGAAGCAAGACTTCCTAAACCCTTCGACCCTGAAGCCTGAGAAGGGGAAGGGGGTCCGTTTCCAGGGAAAGGGAGGAGGTGCCGAGTGATGAACTTCAGTTGTTCGGAAGACTCCCCGGAATCTTTGCTGGGAGTTTAGGGTTTAGGGTTTAGGGGGTTTCTGTAGGAAGGGCCTCTCGCTTCCTGAAGCTGTGGAAATTCTCCTTGGGGCTGCCAGGCGTTCCATCCCAGCGAAGATTCGCTTCTGCCGCTCCTGACGTATGCAGCCACCGGGTACATCGTTGCCTCCCGTCCTGAAAGCTTTATCCCCTAAACCCTAAACCCTAAACCCTAAAACTGAAAGTATCGGGGAAGTGTCATCCTTGCCTGGACTCTTTAGCATTCGAGCTTCCGGGGGCTTCGACTCCCCCGGGAGTCATTCTCAGAGCAATGGGCCATGCGGGTAGTTCTCTAAATTAGGTCCTTTTTGGGTCCCCAATCTAGTACGGCACCCTTATAAAAAGGACCCTAAAAGGTATCCTAATTTAGACAACTACCCATGTAGAAGTGTGAGGCACACCTTTACATGAACGTCTTCGGTCTGGCGGTCGACACTTCGCTCCAGTGTTTCATTGCCGCAGAGGAGATGGGCTGTGCAGAGGAGCGCGCCCTGCTTCGGGATAGCAGGGGCCTTGATGGATAGGAGCTAGACGTAGGCATAGGCCCTGGCGCGATTTCTGGGAGCGGCACGAGGCCGTGATGGAGTCCAATTCTTCTCGCATCTTCGTGGCTTTGCCATGTGAAAGCCGCCTTGAGGAGTATGTGCCTGGACCCCTGAAATCTCTGGTCGATTCGAACCCGGGAAAGAAGAAGTGGAAGATGTTCGGCTCCAGCAAGGCGCGGTTTCTCGAGGCGCTTTGTGGCGCTTGACCGGCTGCAATTTCCCTGCCAGGTCGAGCCGCAGCCAGAGACAGTCCAGATCGTCGCACCAGAGGCAATCCCGGTCTCCTCCGCACCAGAGGCAATCCCGGCCTGATGAAAGCTAAGCTTCGAAGCTTCAGGCAAGCTCTTGTGATACAACTTTAAACCGACCGCGAATAAGACAGCATCGACCTCAAGTCGTAGGCAGGAATCACAAGTCTGCCATTCTGCACGACGCGTTGCGCCCTTGGGGTGCAGACCCGGACCTCTGGCTTCAGCACCAGAGGCCCGCCTCAGTTTTAGGCACCAAGGCCACCACGAGGGTTGTTGCCACCTGGATCGTTCCGGCAACTGCCAACTGCAATCGTTTCACTGAGCAGCCGCAAATCGAAGTCCATAGATTTCTAAGTATATTGTGAGCACTACTCGGTTGCTAGGCTCTTGCGGTTGCTCAGAGACTTGTTTTGAAATTTCAGGATGCTATTTTTGCATGCAGGCAGTTCTGTCCGAGATAAACATAGTGACATGGTGTCTTAGCTAGGTCGTTCTGTTTTGTGTTGCCATCGTCTCACCTTTCGCGTTTCTGCACACAGCCCGTCCAAGACGCCTGTGAAGGTGACCTATCACTCCCCCTGTGAAGGTTGACCCATGTGTGACGGAAAGCTCACAAAGAGCTCGGTCAAAGTAGCCCAGTCATCCCTGATGTAGGGTATCGCTCATGACAGCATGTTGCGTTAAACCCTAAACCCTAAACCCTCAAAAATGTAAACCCTTTAGCTCTAAACCCTAAACCCTTCAGAAGTCTCGTGGCAGACCCAAGCTTCTGTTGCCCCCTGGGAGCACCGAGCTGGTCAGAAGTGCCCCTCGGTGTGAAGGGGACGCGGATGTCCAGCCTTGGCATCAGCAAACCGAACTTAGGGTTTAGTCTCGATTTGGGCTTACGTGTGGATGTCTGTGCCGTTTTAGACTGCTGACGACTTCATTCATCAATGCGTAAAAAGAGCGAACAATGCTGCGAGTGTGAAATTCTCGTGAGAAAGAGAGACCGTGTTACAATGCCAGGGTTCTCTCGTGGTTTTATCACAGGCTCTGAAGTACCCTAAACCCTAAACCCGAAACCCGAAACCCCTAAACCCTAAACCCTGAACCCTAAACCCTTATTCTCGTTTCAACTGCAAGATCTCGAGCGGGGGGAGATGTTGAGGAGTCCGTGCCCGTCGCCGAGCACCTGAAATCGAAAGGGCTCTTGCGGCAGGTGCTCCACTGTGGTTCCTTCCGTCTGTTCTTGTATGCCGCCTCACGCATGACATGTGCCTCGCAGACGATTTTCATGACGAATCAGTTTTGGATCCGCAGATCTTGTCACAGGTGCAGTGCGAGAAGGCCGTAGAAGAGGTGCCATCAGCTGAAGATCTCCAGCATCTCAGGAGATCACTGCCCGTCCCTGGCGAGGTGTGGAAAGACGTCCGAGGGCTTTTCGGTCCAAGTGTCGTGTTCGTTCTCGGTGGTCCTGGCGCCGGCAAAGGCTCCCGTCTGAAAAGTCCTTCTTCCGTATTATACTGTTGGATTATGCCAACAAACTCTCTCTCTCTCTCTCTCTCTCTCTATATATATATATATATTAATTATGTAGTATTCTTTCATGTTATATCATTTTTTCTTTGCTATTTTGCTGGGGCTCTACGTCTGCTTCTTCTGGGCGCCCTGCGCTTCTGCGAGGCACGCTCTGCTCGCAGATTGTCCAGGCCGGCATGGGGGGCTGAAAGGGAGTTTCTTGCCAAGTCGAAGGAGGGATTTTTGGAAGCAGGAATAATATCCGATATTGTCCGATACACCGAAACCCTCCCTGATTGTTAAGGCCCTATCTATGGGGGATCACTTCCAGCTTCCAGGCGTGTGGTTATCAGCATCTCAGCGCCGGTGATCTTCTGAGAGAGGTGGCTGCCGAGTGCCGGGGAAGGGAGGAAGGGAGCAGCGAGCTTCGACTTGCCCAGGAGCGTAAGAGACCCGGCTCCCAGACGGGTGAGCTCATCGAGAACCACATCAAGGCCTGATCGAGGTCAGGTAGATTATATAGGCTCGACATCCCCCATGTCTTGAACAGAAGATAAACTAGCCCTCGGCTCAGAGGTCCAGCTTAAGCCGGGTGCAAGTACCCGTGAATTCGAGTGTTGAACTCTAAACGTGTCTGTGTCGACAGGGCAGGGCTCGAGCTTACAGAGCCGACGCAGCTGCGGAGATAGGAAAAGGGCGCTGCTTGCCCAGGCTTTTCAGTGGCGTTCGTGAGTCACTTTCATGGCAGCGGAGCTCACCTGGTGATCCCGGGGTCTCCAGACCTTTGCTGCGCTGCGCTCCGCGTGCCCGAGATTCTTCGAAGTCCTCGAGATCCTGTTTGGTTATCGGACATCGCCTTTTACACGTTTGGGTTCTTCCTGAAGGAGATCGGGCGGCTAGGGCCACGAGATCCTTCGCTTGACGATGCTGGTTTCCGGTAAGACGAAGAACATTCCTATTTCTGAGCATGACCTCGTGGGAGAACGACGCACTCTTGTGAAGAAGGGTGACAATGAGCAGCGGATCGAGGATAACTAACTTCAAGACCCATGAGAACCCGGCCAGACGCATGTTGGATCGTTGGACTGGGGAGACACGCTTCAAAATCAAGGCCGCTGATCCGTCAGCAAAGAGATCGCGTGCTGATCTTCCTGATGTACCTCGATCTCAACGGGAATCTCCTAAGGGGGTCCCTGAAGCTCCTTCTGGAGCAGATGCAAATGATGGTCGAGGAGGACGTCAAGCCGGTTCTAGCAATGATATAAAAGATCACTTGATGTACCTCGATCTCAGCGGGAATCTCCTGGGGGTCCTTTTAGCAATCATGTACCTGGTGCGTTGGTTCCGGCACACCTACCTACACCTGGCACACCTGTTCCAGGCACACCTCGTGGTCCCCTACCAGGCGACAGTGGTTCAAGTCAATGTGCCGTTCCTGAATGCTGTCTTCCAGGTGGTCATTGTTCTCCACATTTTGATGCTGGTGGTAACAAGTTCGTGTATGACAACAGGAAATCCGCGGCGATACCTATCGAAGAGTCCGGGAATAATACTTCTGTTCAGTCTGGCAGCAGCAGATCCGAGCTGATCCGAGGACGCGGAGATGCCCAACCAAGGTCACAAGCGCAACCAGCCTGATGCTGTTGAGGACATGGGCTACATGTTTGTCAAAGAAGATGATGGACAAGGGCCGTGAGGTGAGCTGGTCATCGTTGTCGTTGAACCAGAAAAAGGAGTTTGATAACGCTATGGCAAAAGAGATGTCGAATGTCCTTGGGAACTGTCCCTCCGAGCTCTTTCTGGCTCCGGAATGAAGAAGCTGGACATTCGGCGCGTCATGAAGATGCGTTGGGTATTGACGTTTAAATCAGACGGGCGGTCGAAGGCTCGTTTCGTGGTGCTCGGATATCAGTCTCCGAACTTAGTCGAGTCTCAAGCGAGCTCTCCCACTTTGAGCAAGTTTGGGAAGATGCTCATTCTGAGCATTGTGGCGAACAATGCCTGGCTGCTTGAGAGTGCTGACGTCCCCAGCGCTTTTCTTCAAAGCTTGCAAGACATGGAGAAGGAGGATCTCGTCGTATATGCCCCAGCTGAGCTTGCTGCAGCATACGGCGCTGACGGCACCCAGGGCTCGACTGTGCTCGGATTGCCTCGGGCCTTTCACGGTTTGTGTAGTGGGTGTCGTGCGCCGAAGTCGTGGTGTGACACGGTCGCCGCCACTCTGAATAAGTCGGGATGGAGTCAGCTGGAGTTTGACCGCTGTTTCTTCATACTTCTCAATGAAGAGAAGCAGCTGCGCGGAGTGGCTGGGTTCCATGTGGACGACTTTCTGCTTGGTGGCCGAAAAGGCGACAAGGTCTTTGAGCTTGCGAAAGCCGAGCTGTTGGCAGCCTTTGAGTGCGGCAAGTGGGAACAGCGAAACTTTGAGTTTGCCGGGGCCAACTTGACTCAGAAGGAGGATAGAACGACCTTTCTGGATCAGAAGTCCTACGCCGAAGTGGGTCGAGGAGATTCGCATCGACAGTGCCATGTCCCAACAGATCAAGGCTCAGGCCACTCCTCGAGCCTTGAGAGATTCGTGGAGCGCTGGGCACTGGTTCGGCGTGCTCATCAAGTTTCTCCTCAGTACTTGGCCGAGGCGGGAATTCTTTTAAGCGAGACTCCGGTTGCCACCGTGGACGCCCTGCTGCACGTCAACAAGCTGGTCAGGGAGGTCAAGCGGAACTCCGAGCAAACCCTCATTTTTCATCCTTTCAACAGGGACTGGCGAGACTTGATAACAGTCACCTGGGCCGACACTGCGCAAAACAACCGACCCAATATGGGTAGAACTGTCGGAATCCTGACTTGCTTGGTGCCCAAGGAGATCCTCGATGGGAAGGCCGTGTATATGAACATCGTATCATGGAAGTCTTCCAAGGCACCACGAGAAGTTCTTGGATCAAATGGATCCGAGGTGCAGGCGATCACGATCGGTGAAGACCTGAACTACCTGGTCCGTTGTGTTTGGTTGGAAGCCCATGGCCATCCTCCCATTTGCGGTGAACAAGCTCGCATGGTTCGTGAAAACACCATCGGCGTGGTGCATGGTGAGGGACTCCAAAGGAATTGTTGATGCGATGACGAGGAACTGCTCGTCGCTACATGGTCTTCGAAGTAGTCGAGCTGGCTACGAGCTGACTGTATCAGTCAGACAGGCTATGTCAGCGGGGGCCCACCTATGGTGGATGGCTGGCACTGAGCAACTGGCTGATGGCTTGACGAAAAGCAAGGCTCGCGGCATTCTCCTACATCTTCTTGGAGATCAGCAGCGATGGCGACTGGTGCTTGATCCTGAGTTTACTGCCGGTAGGAAACTCACGAAACGTGAGCAAGAGAAACGCATCCGAGAAGTTGAACAAAAGGTCATCTTACTTGTAAAGGGCATTGCCGAAGCAAGCAATTTCCCATGGGGC